CAATAAGAATACTTCAAGTATACTTAGTAAGATTGAAAAACTTAAAACTGATGCTGATATTCCCAGAAATCAAAAAGGTTAAACAAATGCAAACTCAAAAGCAAGTTTCAAAGTAGAAACTAGACACTGCCATCAAAGTTCAAGAATTACTACTAACTGATATTTTCACTGATATTTTCAGAGCATAGATCCATCAAAGAAAAGGTATCAGTGTGCTAGAATATGAATATTCTTCTAAATAATTATCTACAAAATCAAAGCCCCAAGACAACCACATTCTTGATAAATATGCTCAAGCTCAGAAAAACAAATGTAGTATACTGCCATTTTTTCTTTTTGATATAAGACATCAAAATCTATCAAATTGTACAAAGAATTAAGGAGCCTACCTCAAAAAAGGTGTCACCGTATCTTGAAAAATTAAGGTCTGAGGATTCAATGCTCTTGGCAACAAGTTCCTGCATGTAAAGATTCAGAACGATCATAGACACACTCGTATGTAGACAAACAGTTTACATACAGAAGATAAAAATGCTAGAAGTACCAGATCACCAGCATTATCCAGATAAATCTGGACCACTGCATCAGCAAATGCTGCAGGGTCCAGTGGAGCTGCAATATTCCGTTTGCGGGTCTTAATCCGCGTGCCTCTGCACACACAAAAAAGTTAAAACTCTAGCATGTTGTGACGACCACAGTTGTTATGAAATAGAAGGCAATAAGCACTAGAAAAATGCATATTATGCATCTAGTTAGTTATTTTGTGGGAATTGGCAAGCACTTATCGAGATGAATAGCTACCACTATTGCATTAACTATCCAAACAAAACTCCAAAATTTTCTTTCACAACATAAAAGTAGAAAGTACAGAAATATGTTTTGACAGTCTGTCAAGGAAACAAGAAAATAACCAAAACACTTGATCATGATTGAGAACAACTCGATATTCAAGGTATCTATAGCCCCAAGTTACTCAGGTTTTTCTATCTTCTCTCCCTTCCCCAGCTGAAAGGCAAACCATTGCAAGAGAAAAAGGGTTTAGTTGAGAAAAGGAAGAAGGGAGAGGTTAAGAATATGAATTGTTTCCCGAGGATTAATACAAGAGTTTGGAAGCAGAAAATAAGAATAAAAAAAAAATTGAAATAAAGGATATAAAATAAATTACGAGCCTAGATTGGAAATCTGGGTAATCCAAAGACAACAGCACACAAAATCCAGAGGGAAAGCCATGTTTTCTTGGCAACCAAAAGAAAACACCAAGTTGAATAGACTTAAAGTGCATATTCAAACGCAAAATCATAGCTCATATCATGCACGTACATCTATGGATCAAAAATTACTTACCCGAGAGTGGGTCTCTCCTTCGAGCTGCACGTGTACGCGCCGAGTTGAAGTAAATAAAATACGTCGGAGAAATTAGTAAGCAATAAACAGTTAATACAAAAGAAGAAAACAGAAAACAAAAAAAAAAGTAGGCTTTTATAGCTGAAGGATTATATCAGCATAAGAAGAATCCCATAAAAGCTCCTTTTGAGGCTAACCCTCTTTTGCAATAAGTAAATCAGTCGAAGAAACTAATAGATTAGAACTCACAGAAGGTAAAAAGTTAAGAACACAACCCAACTTTGGATATTCCTAATGACGAGATGAGAAATTTCTCTCACTTTCAATAAATTTCAGGAAAAATACAGTACTTAAAATATTGAAAATTGATACAAACTCGAAAGTCGATAAAGAATCATAATTTAAATCTTTTAGAGAATCACAGGATTGTCAAGAAATTAAAAAAAAAACGAACTTTGATGATTTTGAATAAAAATCCGATCTGAAAAATTCAGTGGTACTTGATCTTCTTAGAAAAATTACACTGCAATGAAACAGATCTGAGACAATCGATAACAAAAGATCCATAAATAAGATCGTATATACATGTCTCATATGGAGATATAGACATAACAAACTGAGAGGAGAATTACCTCATAAACCAAGATGACGATGAATCAAAGGTGAAGAATCTCTCTGCGATTGGGAAGCTGGGTGATTTAGAGGAGGGGGGAGAGAGCGAGGGCTTTCGATGGGGGGATCGACAGATTTGTAAGGCGTAGAGAGAGAATGAGTGACAATTATTTAAAAATATTTTTCCAAAGAAATAAGTAGTAAATATTTTACTTACGAAACGTGAGGCACGTGGGAACCACACATTGTTCGCTCCTTCGCTCTAAAAAAAAATTAGCAAATATTTTGCTTATGAAACTTGAGGCACGTGGGGATCGCACGCTGTTTGCTCCTTTGTTATGAAGAAAAATAAGTAACAACTATTTTGTTTACAAAACATGAGGCACGTGACAATCGCATGCTCTTTGCTTCTTCACTGTAAAAAAAAAATAATAATTAGTAGTAAATATTTTGCTTACGAAATGTGAGGCACGTGGGAATCGTACGTTTTTGCTTACGAAACATGAGGCATGTGGGAACCGCGTGCTTTTTGGTCCTTCGCCGTAAAAAAAATTAAGTAGCAAATATTTTCCTTACGAAACATGAGGCACATGAGAATCGCACGCTATTCATTCATTCACTTTTATCTTTTAGTTTGATTTCATGAAATATTTAAGAGAAACTCTTAAGAGTTACTAAAAATGATTTTAGATTAGTCTCTAAAATTTAATACATACTATCACTTAGTTTTTCATATTTTTTTACCATAATTTAACCCTTAATGATGTCTATTTGTTTTAAAGATCTAATTTTCTTTTATTAGATTATAAAGATCATTGAAACTGTATGTACAATTTATAAGAGAGAAAGAGTTGAGAGAGCTGAGATGGATAGAGAGCAAGAGAGAACATACGAGAAGAGGAAAAAATAGCATTTAGGGGTGAAGAATAAATATCTTGATTCTTTGAAGCATTTGTAAGCTTAAATGTTGTTATCTATTAGCTTGGTTTAAGTTATATTAACTATTTTTCAATTTATATACCTAATTAACTTGAGTAGCTTGAAAACTAGGTAGAAGAGTCAAAGAGACCTCTTCAAATAGATCACCATATAAAAAGCATTTTTTACGTCCAATTGATGAAAAAACTAGCCTTTAGAGGTAGTAATGGAAAGTAATGTGCGGATAGTAGTTAATTTAGCAACTGATGAGAACGTGTCTAAATAGTCAACACCTGATTATTAAGTGTATCTTTTTGCTAGTAACCTTATTTTATATTGTTTAATATAGTCATTTGTTTTTCTTTTGATCTTATAGATCCATTTACACCTAATTAATTCTTTGTAAAAGTTAGAGTAGTTAATTCTCATGTTTGATTCTCTTCTAATGTTTTACTTTCAGCAAGCATGGCTTTTTTCAAATAAGGGTAGTTAATGGCTTTATTCTAGGATATAAGCTTTTTATCTTGGGATATGGCAAAAATAAATGGTTTATGAGTAGTAGTTATATTTGTGTAAGAAATAACATTATAAATGGAACGTGGTATAGATTTTTTAGAATTAACATAGGGACTTCAAACCATATAAGTGATAGTCATGTAAATGAAAGGGTTACTATATAGATTTGTTACAGCATCTAAATACTAAAAGAGGTTGATTACTAATGTGAAAATCAAAACAAGTATGTCATATTCAAATATATGGTCATTACAGGATTAAAAAAAAGAGATAGATGAGTTACCAGTAACAAGTAGCTTAATTGAATTTCCATGATCAGCATCATCTTGTGAAGTTGAGGACCTAATCACGTCATTGTTAGAAGCTACCATAAAATCATTAGCATAATGTAAAACTAGATCATTTGATTTTTCATTTATGGAATGAGCAAAAAAGAAAATATGTTCGATGATACCATATCCTATAAAATAAAGATTTTCTGACAGTCAAGATCATATACTTGAAATCCTTTGGCATAAGAAGGATATCTAAGGAAAAGACATTTTGTAGCACCGGAATCAAATTTTGAACAATGAGAATCATTAATAGATATATGACATAGACATCCAAGGACTTTCAAATGACTAAATTTTGGAGGAACATTGAACATGATCTAAAAAGGTGTTTAATTGAGAAGCATTTCATGCGCAGCAGCAGTCGCGAAATGAGATGGCGATAATTGAGAGGCAGTTGCTACAAAGTTGATGAGATAATTAGGTTGATGAACCTTAACCCTAATTGTTTTTTTTTTTTTACTATTTTGTGAATTTATTGATTTACACCTTCTATAATAGACCTTTTGAGATATCGTGATAGATGTCCAAGATGAAAATGCCATAAAGTTTGGCCATTAACAACATAAAGAGAAATGGGATTGGTTATTGATAACAAAACTAATAGTGGGAACATTATTAGTCCTTGAAACCTCAAAACAATATAGGTTATGCTTTTCTTTAGCTAAACTAATCATTTTCTAGCTTATTGGATAAAGCAACAATTATCATTGAATATCAAACAATACAATGAATGTAATAATATACGTAAAAGACATACATCTTTGATAACAAAACGAATAGTGGGAACATTATTGGTCTTTGAAACCTCAAAATGATATAGGTCATGATTTTCTTTAGCTAAACTAATCATCTTCTAGTTTATTGGATAAAGCAACAATTATCATTAAATATCAAATAATACGATGAATGTTGTAATATAGGTAAAAGATATACATCACCTGTATGTGTTACATTCACTATTTGGGAATTGGGTAATTTAATAAACATACTATTTTTAGGTTTATATAAAGCAAACAACTCAAGCGAACTTATTATATGGTTTGTTGCTCCATAATCATTTATCCAATCATTCTTTTAGTCATGGTTAAATGAGACCATTAAGAGAAAATGTTGCATGGTTTGGTTAAAAGTTGAAGTTTGCTAAAGGGTATTGATCTGTGGTAAGATAATAGTATTGTGTGTTATGTTCATTGAGTTGGCTATGGATGTTGATGGTCAAGTTAAGGCGATAATTTTATTGTACTGACCCTTTCTAAAGGAGAGAGGC